TATAGAAAAGAAATTGAAAAATATGTGGCCCTACAGACTTTGCGGACATCATTCCTTATGTGTCAATGCCAGTCCCGTTCTGTTGCTTTTGTTTGGTGATGTTATACATATGCAGAAGTTAGTTGATTGCATGAGGGAACGAACAGGTTGATCCACAGGTGAGTGTCCATTCAGTGACGGGCACGGCAGGTCTGACAGTTGGGAGGGGGAAAGAATCTGCCTTCATCAAACTTTGTTGTCATTGGCTGCTTTCCCAGACCAAGTAGGAATATTGGGGGGGGGGAGGAGAGTATTGTGGGGCTGGTAGTTTTTTTGAGAAGCATCCTCTACAGCAGGGGTCCCCAGCCCACGGATCCATGGCCCATGCCAGTCCGTGGCCTTGGCAGGACCGGGCCACGGAGACAGATCTCCCACCAACCCACCCACGCACACACACTCCCCCCATGCACTCCCACCTTCACACATGGCCCACCCACCCACAAGCAAGCCCCGTCCACCCATGAGCACACCCTGCTGATCTATGCATGTGTGAGCGCACCCCACCCATCCACACATGAGCAAGCGTGCGCGACCCACCCACGCACACACTCTCCCCGTGCACTCCCACCTACACACATGGCCCATCCACCCGCAAGCAAGCCCCATCCACCCATGAGCATACCCTGCTGATCCATGCATGTGTGAGCGCGCCCCACCCATCCACACATGAGCAAGCGTGCCCGGCCCATCCATGCATGTGCATGAGCACACCCTGCAGGGGGGTGCCCCACCCCCAATTGGTCCATGGTTCAGAAAAGGTTGGGGACCACTGCTTTACAGCAGCCATTCTCAACGGGCTCATGCGGCCCCCCCGGGTGGCCCTGGTATATTTGAAGACACACACACACACTGGAAACAGTTCTTCACACACAACTTTACAAGGTTTGTTATGCAGCTTAAATAATCTTGATTCAGCCTATATTTTTCATATTGTGTTTATGGTCAAAGCAAGGGGTGAGAATGGCTGATCTACAGTGTGCAATGAACATAAAAATTACCATCCCCTAATGCTTTGCTGTTCCCAGGGAGCTTAGAAAGTTCTACCCAGGTCCATGATTTAATGGCCATCTCCAGAGAAAGTCTCAGCAATAAACAGGGGAGGATCCTGAAACTCCTTTGAGAACTTGAGCTTTTTTTCCTTTTTTTTTCTTTTGCTAAATTTGCTAGAATTCTAGCTGGAGGAATTCCTGCGGACATCTGGTAGTTGTAGTGAAACAATATCTGAAAATCCCATATCTAATGACTGGCAGCCCTTCATGAACGTTTCCTCCACGAATTCCTAGCAGAAAAAAAAGTTTGACTGATAAGAGTTGGGTATAGCCACCAGGGCCAGTGATGACTCTCAACATATAGATTACCACTCCCACAATCCTTTACATACAGTGGCTAGAACTTCTCAGAGTCAAACTCCAAAACTTGCCAAACCCTGCTGCAGAAAATGTCTGTTCTGAATAAGAACATCTAAAATACATAAAACTGAATTACATGAGAGGTTCCCAACCTTGAGTCTCCAGATGTTCTTGGACTAAAACACTCAGAAGCCTTCAGCACTAGCTGTGATGGCCAGGATTTCAGGAGGTTGTACTCCAAGAACATCTGGGGACCCAAGGCTGGGAATCAATGAATTACAACATAGGTCCCTGCATTTCTCACCCAACTTGACAAAATTTCTCAATGGTTGTCACTAGAGATGGGGGTATTCATACACGAATATGAATATCCCTGTGCAGCTGGAGTGAACAAGGGGCCAGACCATCTACTCACTCATCTGGCAGTGCTGGCTCATCCTTCCAATCACCCCCAGACTCCCACTCTCTTCCTGCTCAGCTAGCAACTCAGCAGCATGCATGAAGACTCATCCGCCCTTCCCTTGCCTGGAGTGGCTAGCCAAGTTGGAAGAGGGCGGGGCTATGGGAGCGACTGGAAGGATGAGCGAAGCTGCTGGCAGACACGCGAGTGGATGGTGCGGCTCCACGGAGCGGACCCTCGTTAACTTGAGTTGTGCAGGGATATCTGTATATGAATAGAAATACCCCCATCTCTAGTTCTCACGAGTGAAATTACATACCTGAAGAAAGTAAGTAGGAACACAGCCGTGTGATGATGGGTGTACTGCGACCAAAAGGCCCTTTTGGTAGGCAGCCTCCTCAAAACTCCAGGCATCACTATCTTCTGCTCTCCCCAATTCCCACCCCCGATCCCCTTGGCCCTTGAAGGCTGAAACGTAGATCAGGTCATTTCTCTTCCCCCTTGAAAAAAGAGAAGGAGACACAGAATAAAGAGAGATAATTTACAGACAAGTTGTATAGACTAAAATTGTTTAAGGACTTAATTCTGACCAAATGAATTTAGGATTATGCTCTGTCATCCCATAAGGCTGAATACATGTATGTATTTATGAAATCAGTCAGCTCACAGAAAGGATCACAGAGAAATCTCTTAAGTAATCTTTCAACTACTCTCTGCCAAGCCATTCTTTATCCTAGAGTCTAGACTTTATCCTAGAGTCTAGACTTATTTCAAAACTCCTTCGCTGACACAGATTGCCCTGAACTACTTCATCTTTATCATTCCCATGCCTTCTGTTCTCCACACCTGTCCCCCCACAAAAATCAGACAAGAGTGTTTGAGGGAGATGAGCAACACAATGGAAGTACACAGAGCCCTACGGTATCAGATCAAAGGCTGGTCGTATCCAGTAGCATTTCTCATAGGAGCTAACCCAAAGACTAAGCAGCAGCAAATAAGAGCAACAACTCTCTAGTACAATTGTTCTCCAGTAACTGGTGTTCAGAGGCATACAGTTAGGAGCAGCATATAGAGATCATGGCTTTCAGCCACTGATATTTCTGTTGTCGTCATCAAGTTGGTTCTGACTTACTATCACTCTATGAATTATTAATTGCCAAAGGCTCCTATCATTAACAGCCCAGGTCAGGTCTTGCAAACACAAGGCCATGAATTCTTTTATTGACTCATATTCAGTCTTAGGGCTAAGCTAGATGGTTCAACTGGAGCAGGCTATATAGGGTCCCTTAAGGTTGAGCAGAAGTCCAGTATGGTGCAATCTCTGCATCCACATGGCATCTACACATCCAGTGACCCTATTTAGTCCACCTCCCTTAAGAAAAGAAAAACAATTCTCTCTCCTTGACCCCCTCTTGCTTCCATGAGGAAGCATTCATTTCTTTTTTTTTCTTTTTCCTAAAAGATACATCATATTGGTGCCGCTCTAACTGGCATTAAACAAAAATTCTGCTTCCTCCCTCTGCTCCACAGAGGGAAAAAGTTTTAATTTTCTAATATCATTAAGTGGCTAAACTGAAAATAGCTGGGAAATTAAAGGAGTACTGGGTACAGTCCTGGGCATCTCAGTTTAAAAAGAATATTAACACATTAGAACATGTCCAGAAGCAGGTGACTAAAGACAGTGAAGGATTTGGAAACTAAACCCTATGAGGAACAGCTTAAGGACCTGGGTGGGTTGACCTTGATCGAAGATGTTCAAGAAGTAACATGAATTAATGTTGATAATTAAGCCCTGAATGGTTTGGGATGTCAGAATGCCTTTCCACAGAACTACCACCTGTCCCACTCACACCTCACAAATGCTAATGTTATGGGTCGCCACCCCAAGGGAAGCCTGGAAGTCTACAACTAGGAACTGGGCCTAGTCAGTGGTGGTCACCTTGCTGTGCCACACATTATCAGTGGAGATGCATAAGGCCCCCACCCTCCTAGTGATTACAAGGCAAAGAAAAACGTTGGTTTTCACCTCGGCTTTTGAGAATTTTCTCCCTATTTAATTATTTGATCGTTGATCTTGGCTTGATTTATGTTGCTGTCTGTGTATGTTTGTTTATGTGGGTGGTTTCTTTCTTTCTTTTCTTTTCATTTCATGTTTCTACTTTGTTGCAAGCCTCCTAGAATAATGGCTTGCCACTAGACGGGCAGGGTAGAAATTTAATAGATAAATGAATGAACTCCAGACATCTGAACGGCCATCACACAGATGAAAGAGCAAGCTTATATTCTGCGGCTCCAGAGGTTTAGATTTGGACAAAGAGATTCAGATGATAAAAAGGGAGACTCAAACGAGACGATAGGAAAATCTTCTTCGTGATAAAAACGAAAATGCTCCACAGGAGAACAATTATTTTGGAAGGAGGGAAACTTTCCATTGGAGGTTTTTAAACAGAAAGTAGATGGCCATATAATGGAGATGCTTTGGCTGCAGATCTTCTGCACTGTCAGGAAAAGTCACAGCTTAAGTTGCTTGGAGTCTCATGCCACTCCACAGTCGTATGATTCGGTGAAAGTGCATCCCTCCAAAAGTTGCTGGACTTCAAATCCCATAATTCTTCACCACTGGCTATGCCACATGGGGCTGATGAAGACACAGTTCAATAAAATCAAGAGGAGTGCACTTTGCCCACTCCTGCTGAAACTGAGAACTGTTGGTCGCTTTTCTTTCCATTGTCTGCCTCTGCAAATCATATGTAACTAGATAAGCCCACCCTGGTGCTTTTAAGGTAAAAGATAAGACAAAAAACAAGATAAGTGACATACTAAGAAAAATAGTCCCTAGTCAACAATTCTTCCTCTCTGTGTGCCCTTTCTGTCTCTCCAGATGGCCCTGGCTTTGGCTGAAAGAGTTTTTAGAAGGCTTAACAGATGTGATAGCATGGCAGAATTGTTATCATTTGGTGAAAGGTAAAAGGTAATATGTCAGGTAGAAAAAGGGAAGGGGAGTTCAACTTCTCTCCCTTGCAGACAGCCAGTCTTTCTTTCCTTATTTATTGAATTTATATACTGTCCCAATAGTGCAGGCACTACTCTGCGTGGTTCACAAGTTAAAACGTAAAACTTTTTGCAAAAGGACAATATGTGTGTCAACAGAAATGGCTATCATTTCTAAAAAATCAGAGTTGGCACTTCAGTCTCCCAAGAAAATTTCTCACTCGTTCAAGAGCCAAACAAAATAACTTTAAAAATAAACCTGGTCTCTACAGGAAGTTCAACTCTGCCTTCTATGGCTTGAATAGAATAAAGGCTTTTTGTCTCACTGCATGCATTGATCTCCTTATCCATGCCAGAATGTCAGTTTTGTTACTGTGAGGGGGGTTGCTGCCAGCACTCTGGACAGATCACTGGCCCCCACCCAACCCCCTTTAGAGGGGGACAAAAGGGAGACCACTTGTGGATCCCAGGAGGGCATGGTGAAAGGAGAAGAGCCGGTAACAAGGTTCAACTGGGAGAACAGGTAGGGAAGGCTGAGGGGGAAATAAAGGGGAAAGAGAAGCAGGAGCTGGGGATCCAGTGAGAGGGGGCAGGAAAGGACGGCTTCCTTGGGGACTATTGAAAACAGTAGGCTACTTCGGACAGCGAAGAAACCTGAGGTAAAGCCATGGAGGAACTGATGTGCTGAGGGGGACTTTGAGTATCAGTTTGAGAAAAACCCTTGGTCGGCTATCTTGGTAGAGATAGCAGTAGTTGAAGGGCAAGGGGGAGGTGGTGGAGCTATCTTGGTAGAGATAGCAGTAGTAGTTGAAGGGCAAGGGGGAGGTGGTGGTGCTCCCATATTTGCCCCGCTGGAGTCACCACTTCAACCAGTATGCACCTGGTGACACAGGAAGCCAATGGGTCCCATAGTCCCGACCCCTCAACAAAACAGATGTCACCAGTACCAGAAGGACAGGCAGCAGTGGCTTTGGGACACGGAGGGTGCCAGCAGATACCCGTCAGCTGCCTTTACAAACTACCCTGAGAGGAGCCAGGTGGGATGTTGGAGCACCTCAGCTTCTGGGCCAGGCAGGGCTCCCCTCATTCTCCAGTGGACATAAGTAGGGGACAGGTGGGAGAGACTGTGCCGGAGAAGCTAATGCCAGAAACTGAGCCCCTCGGAGGACTACTTCTACCTCTGTATCTCCAAATTAGCCAGCAATAAACCTTGTGTCTCCTCACACCTACGGAATTAGTTACTGGAGATACTCTGAACCCTGGACTTGCAGCTGGCAGAGATGGGAGTGTGCACAAATCACCCATGAATTCTTTGTTAACAGCCATAGTTGAAGCAATTACTAATGGCTGGAGTCCTCTCAGTGCTTGCATAAGGTTTGTGTAACTTACAGCAGCTAACTACAGCTAATTGATGAGGAGCCAGGGTACATCTCTATTGTGCAATCATCCACATGACCTCATGGGTAGAGTGGGCGGCATATAAATTCAATAAATAAATAAAATAAATATGCAACCAAGATACACCCCAGCACTTCATTAATTAGCCATGGCATGTTACACAAACACCTAGAGGCTTCTGGCCATTGTTTGCACTCCCTATATTTCAATCCCTTCTCCTCCTGTTGACAACCTTGAACCAAAAGAGAGTTTCAACTTTTCAACTCCTTGTTTGAACAGGGACAAAGACTTTCACCTCACTATGTACCATCAGTTCATTAGTGCAATGATGTCTGTGCTATGTCAAGTGTTCTGTAAATGGTCACTGTTAAGGTAATTATAACTGGTTATAGCTTTTGCACCGATTACATCCTCTACTTACTCACCAATGTAAAACATTTTCCTGTTTCTAATGAGATGCAATCCATGAATACTTACGCCAAGTTAAACGTGTTACTCTTTGAGGTGACACTAGACTCCAAGTTGCTCTGGCCAAACAAGGTTTCTAAAAGCTTAGAGATGTCTTAAGCCTGCAGAAATGTATGCATATGTGACCTTTTTTAAACACACACTCTGTAGGGATGGGAGTGTGTCACAAGCTTCAGTGAGCACCTTAGATTAGTATGAATACTCCTAGAAACTGCATAAGGTCTTAGATGTATGAATGAGCACCTAGGAGTATGAATACTCCTAGAAACTGCATAAGGAAGACAAACAGTAGTGATGTCCTTTCTTTCATTCTCTTTTTTTAATCAATAGAGGTAGATCTTGTGTAATTCAAAGTAGAGGAAACTCTTTCAGCCTTTTTGAGCTGTCTAGATTAAAAAGTCAGAGATCCCCAGATCATGTTACAAATAACAAGTTTGCCAAGCTACCAAAATTAGACATGGGGAGCTTTTGGTAAAAGGTAAAACAGAACCTAAAAATCATATCAACTGTGTTCTAACCTATGATCAACATCACTGCCAAACTACAGGGCAGCATAAAGAGGCATTAGTATATTCTAAACAATATAAAAAGCTGCCAAGAGACACTACAGAATCCTTTTAGAAGAACAAAATATATTGGAGATTTGCTGAGGAGAAGCGAGTTTAAGGAAAAACAACAAAAGTCCTGCAATACTTCATTGGTTGTGTTACCCCTAAGTGGTCATCATCCATGTGGGCACTGTACCTATTGTAAATACACATGTAATATGTCATGGTTTGTAGATCATCACAGTGGGAGGAAGTACAATTTTCTGATCTACTATTTCAGTGGATGTATCAGTTCCCTTCATTATTTTCAAAGTGCATTCTAGTGACAGTCAGAAAAAAGAAAAAGAGTGCAACAGAAAATGATAGCATGTTTTAGTTGAAAACTCCTAGTGCTAATAATTAAGTTTTCAGAGAAGCCTGCTAAAATGAGGAAACAACTTGGTAGGGCTGGCCCTTAAGAGAGTCCAGAAAGTACAACCTATTGAGAGGATGTACACTTCTGCTTTCTCCCCCTGCCCCCACCTGGATGCAATGGACTCCTCTTCCTCTCCTGCCACAAAATTTGGACCTGTTTGCAAGGAGATGATGTGCAGCACCCACCGTCTAACAGCCTCCAAAGGCCCACGCATTTCCTGTAACTGAGGATGAAAGAGAAGGAGGGATAGCTATCGACCACCTCGCTCTCCCTCAAGACCTGCTTTATGAAGCCCACTGATAATACAGTTCCACATATACTACCTTCTTTAATACATCTCTACAACTTCCTCCTCACTCCCATAGTTAACTTTATGTCAACTGTCAGGGTTAACCATGATTAGAAGTAACATGTCCGCTGCCAACAAAACATCTGAAACCATGGCTTGAAGTCAAAAACCTCAAAGGAGTCATATGATCCATAAGTACAAACAAAATTGTGCACTGGGTAATACTGGAACATTATAGTGCTGTAGAAAAACAAAGCACACTTTCAGGTCCTCCAGAATTATTCTTCAGGGGTGGAGATCCCCCAAATTTTTTGCCACGTAAACCTTGAAATTTCTGTAGGGTTTGACAGCTTATTCTGTTTATATCTTTTTAGTGGCTCAAGAAATGTATTATGAATCAATCTACAATTTCATGCCTTAAAACGTCATTACAATCCTTAGTTCTCATTATTTTCTTACCATCATTAGCGATGATTCAGTTGACTGTTACAGAAAATTAGTGAGGAGGATGAATGCATAAAGAGGTGGTTGTAAGCTGCCTTGAGTCCTTTTAAAGGAGAAAGGTGAGGTAAAAATATGACAGACAGAAACACATAAGCTTGTGTGTATCCAACCTGCACTTGCTGGATTTGTTTCCAGTCCTGAATCTATGTTAGTAAGAAGCAGCACATAACTTCCTGGTCTTGCCCTGAAACACAGATCAAAGCAATGATGATTACTAAATGCTTGTTTAGAGGTGCAAACAATATTAAAAGTTTTTTTAAAAAAGACAAAAATATGATAGCACCTTAAAAACTAACTTTTATATGTTTTAATGTGAGCTTCTGTGGACAATCCACTTCAACACAGCTACCCCTTCTGCAACTATAAATGTTGGTTGTTTCCTTTTTAATCAGCTACAACATTTATCAGGAAAACAACGGTGGTCCCTCTGTAAAGAAGCCTCCTGTTCTCTACAGGGCTCTGAGACATCCTTAGATAATGGCACTCCCTTTTAAAATAAAAATTTACTGTCAGTGCCAAACACACACAATGGAACAGCTGAGGGGAAGCATTTTTCGGGCTACAACGGTGTAGTCGGACCAACTTCAGCCTGGAATCCTCTTACATACCTACTTTTTAAAACACTGATTCCCCAGCAATTTTTTTACTCAGACGCCTTTTAAGAGTAATCCAAGAAAAACAACGACGAATGGAATTTTTTTCCCCCCAGTTAGAAAGACTGGGGAGGGGGGACGCCACATGCTTCGGCTGCTACGTGGCAGACAGCGCAGGAACGAGACTAGGCAAAAGACACAGGAGAATCCCGTACGGATTCCGTGCAATTCCAAACATGCATAGGATCAGAGCGCACGTCTGAATCCTGGATACCCAGAAAGCAAGAGCAGAAACAATTCTAATCTGGGTGGATAAAATGAAACACACAACACTCAGGCGATGCCCCCCTTTAACAGGGCATGATACTGACTGTACAACGTCACATACATCATCATGCTAGTCATCCCACTCGCCTCCGATTCTCTCGAAAACCGCAAGATCTAAAAAGAAGCCATGAGAGACTTCTCCCCATAACTACCCATATACCTGTATACCCTCCAAAGAAGCACCGCTCACCTGCCCGAATTTCCAAGGCAACTTCCAGGAAGTCACATGACCGTCTCCTCTTCAGAGCCGGAGCCGCGAGCGCGCCTCGTCTCCCCGCCTATCTCTGTCTTTCGCTTTTTTTTCTCTCCTCGCGGTGCATCTTGGGAGTTGTAGTCTCCAGGCTAGCTTCGCCTTGCTTTTCGGAATACTGTACACAGTATTGGTCTCTCCCCATGTTGCGCGGACTGAGGTTTGCGCGAAAGAAAGCTGTCGCTGCCAAGTTGGGTGTTTTGTTTTGTTTTTTGCACATCGTGCGTAGGGCATCGGGCAACACACTTGACTTTCCCCCCCCACACCCCGACATTATTGCCTGGTGAAGCCGCAGTCCTGCGTTTAGTTTCTCGGCAATAAATCCATTACCTTTAGTGGGACTTACTTCTGAGTAAACCGTGCATAGAAACTGTCAGGGAATGTTCGTCAGGTTTGCTGAGCCATTGTCCAGAAATTGGGGGGTGAAGGGGTATTCCCATGTGTAGTTCTGGTACGTTTACTCACGAGTAAGCCCCAGTTAATTTATTAAGGAATTGTCCCAGAGTATACGGCTTCGGTTCCCACTACAGTAATTTCAAAAGTACCGTCATTACTATCTTGTTAGAGATTTCTTGTTTAACTTACTGCTACAGTAATTTCAAAAGTACGATCATTACTATCTTAGAGATTTCTTGTTTAACTTACTTAATATTATTTGTTTCATTTCTGTACACATACCTTTTACATGTATATAAAAAAACCACATTTCTCCTTTTATAGTTGCCACATTTTTAAACCCAGTCTCACCTGTGTTTTAAAAAACAACTACATAGACATGATGGGAAGAAAACCAGCAAGTTAAAGCTAACCTTTCCTGCTGCCTAAATTACCCCAAGTGGGGTAAAAAAGAAAATCCTGGGGGTAATGAGCAAAGTGCTACACCCCACACCCCACTCCCACCCCCTGCAGATGAACCACAAATGTGAAGCCACCTCTCCCTGAGGCACTTGTAAATCCGTACTCCTCTCTATACCACCCCATGGCTGGAGAGCAATGTGTTCCAGCAAAAATACACACCTTTATTAAATTTGGTGCATCCTCCTAGTTTGGTACATAGCCTGGCAGCCATTGATATTGATGATATATCCTGCTCGTTCGGTACACAGCCTGTGTAGATTCAATAATATTTTTAATTCAAATAATGTATGATTTCCTTCCTTTCAAATCAAGGGGGTAATGTCGGTGTATATAATTTTTGGGGGGTGGTGGTGTAAAAGGTAAAAAAGTTCCCTGACCCCTGCTTTAAAGAAACATAGTTCCAGACTATTTTTTAAAATGGCAACCTTAGTAGCTGGCAGTAGACAACTGCCCTGGAGGTACAAAATGCAAAGAAGAAAAACGGGACATACAGAGAAGATAACAATGGTTTCCACTGGTAGCTTTGAACAGTAGCCCTTTCTGGGGATCTATAGGATCAGTCGCTTACTGCCCTCCTGCACTCTGGTGAACCTTATGAATTATCTGACTGTTGTGATGTGGGAAGACATATTAGAGTAAATCACAGGATAAGTTTAGTTAACCTGTTTTAAAGCGTGGTTTTATCACAGGAGGGCTGGATAGCTCAGTGGTTTAGGTGAGAGTTCGATTCCCCACTGGGCCTCCTGAGAGAAGAGCCAGCCTATGTGGCCTTGGGCAAGCTGCACAGCCCCAGGGCACCCCCAGAAGAAGGGAACAGGAAACCACTTCTAAGTATTCTGTAGCTGGAAAACCCTGAAAAGGGTCTCCATAAGTTAAAATTGCCTTGGTGGCTCATCATCACAGAATGATGTCACTAAACTAGCCTTCTGTTTGTGCAGTATTCAAGCCAAATTAAAGTTGCAAAGGCATCTACATATACAGTACTGTATACATATATTTATTTGGAAGCTCCTTCCATTGCTGAACGCAAGGGAGTTAAGCTGGATAATGAACAAGAAGCTTACATTTTATTTGATTTTATTGCCTCTAAGGTACCGCTTCTAGAACTGGCCATATCATTAGGCAGTGAGGAGACTGCCTCAGGCAGCAGATTTGGGCATCATGAAATGGAAGCAATTTGTTATTTAATTTATTGCTGTGTTTTTATGGGAAAGGAAGGAAGGGTGCTGGTGGAAATTTGATTACTCTGGTACTAACGTGGCTGGTTTTACAGAACAGGCCCTTTGCGTTGGGTGAGGGGGGGGGAAGCCATTTGCTCTTTGGCCTCGGGCAGCCAAATACTGTACCTGGTTGCAGTTCTGAGTAAACCTGTGGTGTTTTTTTTTGTTTCATGAGCCACTTTAATTCCCTAACCATACAGTATTTGAGGATATCTTGGAGCCAAAAAAAGGCTTTATCTCTTACCTCTAGAGCAAAAACCATAGCAGCGCCTCTCTTGCTCTTCTACTCTCCATGCAAGTTTGCTTGCTGTTGGCAAGCAAAATAAATTATGCAGCTAAATTCTTCTGAAACGTGAGCCTGTGTCTGCCCAGTTAGAGTTAAGTCCCATAGCATGCAAGAGAGCTTTCTTTCTCCCAGGTGAGTATGGTGCTGCAGCCTAAATACATTTTACTCAAGGCTTGAAAAAGTTATTTTTCGGATTATAACTCCCCAAATCTCCTGCGCAACACAGCCAAGGACTTGAGTTGTAATCTAATAAGAAACGTGCATTTATCTTAGAATAAGCCCGGTTGAAATCTATAAGAATTGCTTCTGTCTAGACTGAAGATTGCCTTGTCGAGCGCCTTTCTAAGCAGTTTCTAGTATCGTGTGTGTCAAGCAGGGCTGGGAGAAAACTTTATTACATTTCCCTTTGCAAGCGGCAGCCACGGCCTGCTTAGGAAGTGGTTTCTCAACTTCAGTTATCAAAGTAGAAAAATCTCTAATACTTGGCACTTCACGTTGTCTCTCTGTGTGTGTGGTGTTTTTTTTTTTTTAAAAGCATGACTTGGGCTGGGTTATAAGCAAGGCGTGGGCTGGGGAGGCGAAGACGCTGAACTTTTGAAACTCCATTTCCCATCAGGCGATAAGAAAGGCGGAAAAAAAGTGGGAGGGGAAGACAACGCGAGGTATACCTGTCCGTGCAGGTAAGAGGGAGAGGGATGAATAATAACAGGTGAATTAAGCCGGCCGTGGAGGCGGCGATGTTTCTTCTGGGGCTTTTGAGAGGTGTGCTTTTCATTGAGGAGTCTTAATGTTTTACAGCATTGATCAATGATTGCCTCTTTTTAAGTCTCTCAGAAAGAAAAACTTTCTGAGAGGCAGCGGGAAGCTGAAAACAGGAATTGCCCTCAGGGGAAGTAAGGATGGCTTCCCTTCTGTTGATAACGGGGAAGCCATTCTTTCTGTCCGTGTTTACTTGCTGGAGCTTGAGTTTGAAGGCAGGAAAGACAGGGTTCTTTTTAATAAATGTATAAAAACGAAAACAGCAAGACGGGAGTGAAAACGCCTTCTGCCATTCTTCCCCCTCCCCATCATTCTACTAAATATAGACGATTAATCTTTCTGCTTTTTCTTTTTTAATTGTTTTTTTAAAAAGAAATGTAATCAATCCTTTCAACAGCAGTCTTAGTCTGAGAAGGCGGCCCTGGCTTCTTAACCTAAATCTTTTTCTTCAACAGAAGTTGGTTCCCCCATCTTCTAACTGAATATGATAAATTATTGTATGGGTATAATATATAATGGAAATAATGTTATGAATATAAGAGTGTGACCACATTGCAATATACTCCTCCAGTTACTCCTGGTTTAGCACAATGCAAATTGATTCAAAAATTTCCCAATAATGCAACGTTATTGTATGCGGAAACAGAACCTGAAAAAATTTAACCACATATCTAGCCACAACGTTGCCTGTGAAAAGTCCTGAGATTTGTTTCAGTTCTTGGAGGGAAACAATGCGATATCCTGAACATTCGTCCTGCGATTGCTGATGCAACGTTATTGTATGCAGAACCAGAACCTGGAAAAATTTAACCACATATCTAGCCACAAGGTTGCCTGTGAAAAGCCCTGAGATTTGTTTCAGTTCTTTGAGGGAAACAACGCGATATCCTGAACATTCGTCCTGCGATTGGCAATCCTGACAGGATGCTGAGAACCCTGAAGAGTTGACAGTCATAGTTTTGACTGCTCTCTGTATGAGAGGTTACCTTTGTTTTTCTCCTGATTGTGTTTTGGTTGCTGCTGCAGTTTACCTGTTGTTTTTTAAATGATTTTCGTTTAAGTCTTGGTGTGTTTGTTTTTGTTGTTTATTACTATTCTCATGTTCCTGTTAGCTGTTTTGCATTTTTTTTTAAAAGCAGGATTAAAAACACACTGTTATAAGAGTGTGTGATCTTGGTCTCAGAACATAATACTGTACTAGCATAAATTTGCATTTATTATTTGCAGCAGATTTTTGCACACACTCATGGAATCATAGAATAATTGCATTGGAAGGAACCTATAAGGCCATCGAGTCCAACCTCCTCCTCAGTGCAGGAATCCCCATCAAGGCACTCATGTTTGTTTAATTAGGCAACATCACAGTCAGAATTTGAAGGTCCATGTTGTATAGTGTAACTTGGGTATGCAGGATGAATGATCCTTGTTGGTTTCAAATTAGTATGGATGGGTTCAAAAATAAGCCTTGGAATATTCCCCTCCCCCCCAAGTTCAATGGTATTTGGGGGTGGAAGTGTGGTGGGAATGTGGCTGGGAATTTTTCTCCAGCAAAAAAAAGTTGTGTGCTACCGTTCTTGTAATGCAAAATATTTTGGTCTTGAATAGGCAGTTATGACCTTTGCTTCTCCATATTTCTCTTCCTGGTGAAGATGAAAACTGTTCCAGTCAACACTGTTGCCTCCCTCCACCCCCTTTTGGATGCTTATTAGAAGTGTGGTTCCAGGGACTGTCATTCTGAGCCTATGCATTTCAAAAGTTACTACTGTACTGTTTGCAAGACTCACAGTAATGTAGACTAGGGTGCACGAGTCCTGGGTTTGAAACTCTGCCACCCCTGGATATTCACTAGGGGGTTGGGACTGGTAAAACTGCCCCTTGAATGTGTTATTTACCTTGCAAGCTGAGTTAGTGTTGTCAATCAATTTCAACTTGATGACGTAAATCATAACAACCCACTGCACCCAGTCGAAATGCACAATCTCAACAAACTTGGAATCTCTTGAACGTTTGTGATTTGAACTATAAAATTGGCAGGCTTAGTTTCCGCTGGAACGTTGTTACAGTGGCCCATACAGTTTATGAATAAACAAGATGGGACTAACAAGGGGAGAGTCAGTCTGTTGGAAACCTGCAGTTAAGAAAACCGGATCTACTGGAGTTACAGACAAAGCCTTTTGGCAGTCTCCCAATCCCCATTGTTCCTGCTGTTTCCTTCTGTAGTGAAACTTTTCCATCCTCTTCAACAGCCCTGGTTAATAATAATGATGTTTTAAAAGAAAATAGCACAAATTTTGGGATTTGTAGTCCAAAAAGGGATATTTTTTTAAATAAAAAGCTCTGTTACAAAAATAATTGGGAAAGAGAAGCTCTCATCAATTAAATAATCTGCTTCTCTTTAGCTGGTTGGTCACTTTGTGAATGCTTTCTTCATCGCACTTCATCTCTAGGGCCAACGCAAAAAGTTACCTAGGAAAAGGAGAGTCATGGCATATATCAACTCTGAGATGGATGAGGCCTTTGACTATCTGTTCAAAATTATTTTGATTGGAGATTCAAATGTGGGGAAGACTTGCGTGGTCCATCGCTTCAAATCGGGGCAGTACAATACAAAACAGCAAAACACGATTGGAGTGGACTTCACAGTCCGTTCACTGGAGATTGATGGCAAGGCAGTGAAGGTAAGTAGTGCATCTTTCTTGCAGAGAAATAGCCTCAAGATATAGATATAGGCAACTCTCCAACCAGAGCTACAGGGAAGAATAGAGATGTGTTTGTAACACTCCAGTTCTTATCCTGGCTGGTTGGATTGCTCAGTGGTTTAGGCATCCAACTGTGGAGCCAATGGTTGGGAGTTTGATTCCCACTGTGCCTCCTGCAAGTAGAGCCAGCCTGTGTGGCCTTGGGTGAGCTGCACAGTCCCAGGATATCCCTAGAAGAAGAGAATGGAAAACCGTTTCTAAGTACTCTCTACCTAGAAAACCCTGAAAAGGGTCATTATGAGTCAGAATTGATAGCACATTAATTATTATCATTACTTCTCATCCTAGTAGTCATTGCCCAAATGCCTTGCCTGATTGTCTTTTACCCATAGCTTCAAAAATCTTGTTTCCTCCTGCTAATATGCTCACTGTGAAATTCTGGGAATTGTAGTCCAAAAGATTCAAGTTAGAGGACACAATAACCTAACTGAGTTTAATTTGAGATGAATGGATTATGGTTTTAATGCATTAAGGTAAACATGAAATTAAACATTAAAGCCTGTGTCCTCTTAGGGAAATGTGGGCATAACACTCTGCATAAACTCAGGCTTATAATTGTATGAAAATTGGCCCATTGAAAGCAATGGGACTTTTGCATACACAAGCAGGGCATTCATACCCCCAGGGCAAAAACTAGAGAAAGAACACCTGCATGTACAATGGACTGTTGCCCACACAATAAAAATGAAGAGTTTTCTGACCTAAGTTGTTAGTTCTGACAGAAATCCTAGGAGAAGATAGCATATGTTGCAGTGCTTGACCATGTTTCTCTTTCCCCCACCCCCAGGGGGGCATTTGTGGTTGCATACTTCTCCAAATTAGAATGTTTTGTTAGTTTTATTTAAGTTGGCTTCTGAAACTGGGCACTTTTTTGAGGATCTGAGCCACAAATATCACAATTCAGTTGTTTGCTGCGGATGATGGGCTTTGCAGTACACATCTAGAAAGTGCTGGGTTACAGAGTGCAGCCTTAAAGCACGCATTTGACACCCTGTTCAATTAAGCGTCGACCATGATCTTCCCTTTTTTCCCCTTCTTCCCTACAACCATGATAATATTTGTATTCACTCAGCCTTCAAACACTGGATTGAAAAACAAAAACGACTCAAGTATTACACGTTCATTTCAGTTGGAAGACATTGATCCACTGCCCTGCTGAAGTGCAGTAATAACTGGCCATAAAGATCAGCCAGTAGATAAAGTGGAGAGTCTTGAAATATTTCGTGCAACTCTAAGCACACACAGAACATTTTTCTGCAATATTTATTGGGTAGTTGCATCTTCTGACTCTTACCCTAGAAGTATAAAAGTGGAAATCTAGTATATCATCAGCATAATCATCCAGAGAGAGAGAAAATGCCTTGCATTAACACAAATTTTGCAAGCTATATGAACGTCTTTAAATCCTCCCACCTTCATTTTTTTCTGACTGATGTTGCTAATTGTCCTCTGCTTCTTTCTTCCCACACTTAGGTCTCTAAAGGCAGGTCCACGAGGTGTGCTGTGCTCAACTCATGTTGTGTCTGGCGACTACTGTGTGGTTGTGGCAGTTTTATGGTGCTGCCAGTGAATGAATGAATGAATAAATGAATGAATTTATTTATTTTTATTTTTTTAATTTATACCCCGCCCATCTGGTCTGGTTGACCACTCTGGGCGGCTTCCAATAAGGTGTATATGATAAAACATAAGGATTTTACAAACAGTCCATAACACCTACAATAATAAAACAAATAATAAATGAAAGAAAAAAATAAAGAATTAAATATTGACAGGAGGGAAGGCCTGAACATACAACCATGTTTTTAGTTGACTCTTAAAAGTGCCCAGCGTAGGGGCCACACAAATCACCGGAGGAAGGTTATTCCAGAGGTGAGGAGCCACCACCGAGAAGGCCCGGTTTCGTGTTAGATGTTAAACAACATTGGGGAAATTTAGAAGTAAAGCCTGCCCTCTCCTATTTCAGCTGGATGGTGGTTGCAGTGATGAGTTCCCCTTCTCCTCTTGGCCATGGCTCACACTCTGTCCATGTCTTCACTGTTGGTTATAGCTCCAGCAAAACAGATCAGCTGCACCTATTGAAGCTTTTAAAGTTGTGGGTAATGTTAAACTAATTAGATCAAATCATGATGTTATTTGTAATTTGGCTAAAAGTTAACAGATAGGCTTTATGAGTGAAAAACTAGCATCCAGGTTTTGCAGCTGAGTAGAATGCAGTACATGTAAGCTATCTGAAAGCACATGCTATAAGAAAGAGATATCTTTCAGCATCTAAGGAAAGTCTTCTTATAATCATATCATGTAGTAAACAAGACATTGGCTAAAGGGTTAAAATAGTCTTAGAGACCGAGGGCTTCTGATAAATAGGAACAACTGGAAAGGGTTAAAATAGTTTTAGAGACCAAGGGCTTCTGATAAATAGGAACAACTGGAATGTATTTTTTGCTATTTCTGTTCTAGATTATTTGCATCCTGCTTTCCAACACTTAAAATTCATTCAAACTATAAGATTAAATTTGAGGAACCCACCAATGTAAAAATAAAAGTTTCCAGAGGATAATAATGGATGTGTTCTCAACTTGTAACTAGGGTTCCTTCATTTTCTTATCTTGGGCAGCATATTTTAGAAATGTTACTTCATTCATTAATGTTAAATTACTTAATTGGTTACTCTTGGATCTTTACTGATAATATAAGCAGAATATTTTCCATTCAGCAGAATATCTTGAGTATTGGATCTTTACTGATAATATATTTTCCATTCAGCAGAATATCTTGAGTTGCCATGTGTGTGTTCATATATGACTTCAGTCTGGAAGCTATATTTCCGTTTGCTCTGAAAGGAAAAAGTTAATTCGAGTTTCTTTCTTTTGTTTGTTTGTTTGTTTGATTCAGATACAGTCTCCGGATACCGCAGGACAAGAACGCTTCCGGACAATAACCCAAAGTTATTATCGCAGTGCACATGGTGCTATCCTTGCCTATGACATGACCAGGAGGTCTACTTTTGAGTCTATTCCTCATTGGATTCATGAGATAGAAAAATATGGAGCAGCTAATCTAGTCTTGATGTTGATAGGTAAGTATTGGGTTTTTCTCTCCAGAGTATGCTTTTCGGCTTCTCTTGATCATCTTGGTCCTCAACTCTGTGCCAACTTTTATTTGAGCAATGAAAAGAAAAACAGAATATCAGGCCTGGTCCTGCCATTAGGCAGAATGAATCAGTGGGCGCAGATGGCAGGAATAAGGAGCAACAGTGAAGGATGGGAGACAAAATTATGAATGATATGTATATAATTTAGGCTGCTGCCCTCAGCTATGGCCGAGGAAGACACTACCTTATCAAGAGCAGGGTTCATCCATTACCTTAATTAGCCAGAAGGGAAGTGCGGGTAGTTTATTGCCTTAAGGACTGGATTCTAAGGATTTCTACTAGTAGGGAAATGCCACTGAACTTGATGAGATTTTGGTCCAAGCCAAAATGTTTTGGATCAGGCTGTTGTCCTTTAGGAAGTTCGGAATGTTAACAACAATCCAGAAGTTAAATTGAGCCCAATCATTGGCGGGGGGGGAACCAATGAAATTTTCCTAATCTGGAAACTGGACATCAAGACTTGGAGAACAGGTTCCATTTTTGGGATGACCTCTTCTGTGGCAACTGCAGCTGGCAAATGTTGTTTCTTTTATATATCACCTTCCTTCCAAGAAGCTTGTGGTAGCATAAAAGGTTCTTCTCCTTGATTTTTATCCTCTCAAAACCCTGTAAGGGAAATTATAGACTGAGATGTAGTGACTTGCCCAAGGTAGAGATGGGGAAGGTTTAGAAAAAAATATTTATAGTTTGCTACCTCTTGACATGTTCTTATTGAGACAGAGATATAAAGTTAATGAACAATTGAATGGTCACCTCTTTTCTACTTTCTATAATGGCGTTGAATTTCCTATTGAGCTTTGTGATTTTGTAGGGCTTTGAAGCCACCTCTTTCCAGACCTTTTCCAACACATTACCTACGATGGGTCCTTTGCTGTGGTAGTTAAGTCTCCTTGATGCCATTAAGGGACCAGCTGTGTATCAATGAGATTTCTTTTCTCCTTGGTCCATCATACTCCACCCTCTCCCAACTTACTAAAATTCCATGTTCCTCACTCACCCGGTCCCATCACAGAGTTACCAAATCATATAAACATAACTGGTCATATTACCGGAGTCTGAATTTTTTTTTAAACCCAATTTAAAGGGAACAAGTCAGATGAAGCAGAGAAGCGGCAAGTCCTCTTTGAAGACGCATGCACACTAGCAGAGAAGTATGGTCTTCTGGCTGTATTGGAGACGTCTGCCAAAGAGGCACAAAATGTTGATGAGGTCTTCATATTGATGGCTAAAGAGCTGATAGCTCGGAATACTTTGCAGCTTCACGGAGAGAGCGGCCCTTCCGATAACATCCATCTAGACAGCCGGCCAGTGATTGCTGCTCGGACTGAGAACTCCAATTGCTCATGTTGATTGAGGGGAAGAAGCAACTGAAGTGAATCTTGAGGCCTTGTCCATTAGGAGAAAAGCCTCCCTTCTAGCCTTGTGTTGTCACTGTCTCAGTGTATAATTCAGCCACGCAGTTCTGGTTCAATTGTCACCATCCTGAAACAGATGTTTCTCTTTCTTTTGATGGTCAAAGCAGATTGAAGTGGCTTTTGACTGCAGAGAACATCTCTTAGAAACCTTGTGTTTAATTGGAAAGAGAACGGTGTATACTTTTGACAGAAGGTGGTAGCTGTCTTTGCGGCTACATGAAGAACTACCCTATCGGGTTTCTGTTGGTTTTCACCAGTGATGTGTGGGGAAGAAACTGGGTTTATCTGTCAGTGACTAATTACTGCTTTTCCTGCATATGTTCAGCTCAGAGTTGGTAGGGTTACAAATGGCAATTTAGCCACAGTAGTGTAGGTAAACGTTAAAACAGTGGTTTTGAATGTTTACATTGAAGTTGACTCTCCAGCAAAGTAAACCCAGTACTTTTGTAGCAAACGAGACTTATGACTGACCTATTCATTTTTCCTCCTTTCCTCTGCCATCAGCAATGAATGCTAAGAAAGATATTTAATGAGGGACCTCTAATTATTGTGATATTTTCTTGCTCGTCTTGTGCAGTCCTCCCATTGGCACTGAGTGGTTGTGATTGTAACAAACTGTAACTAAAAGCGTGTGGTTGTGATTGTAACAAACTGTAACTAAAAGGAATGTGCTGCCTTTTTGAAATTAAACCTTGACTTGAAGTTACTACCATTTGAGTTTTCTGCTGCTTTTAAATGACTCCTCAGAGTCTGCTCCCCCACTATCAAGACTATAGCAAACTTCATCAAATGAAACATTTTTGACCACTTTAAAGGATACTGAAACTGGAATCATCAAAATATTTAGTCTTTACTGTGAAAGATACAGGGTAGCTCAGAGGCTGGGAATAATGTGCCACAAGTAACCTCACCTGTAACTTGTTACTTTCTGGAATAAAAGGAGCATAACAATATTATTTTTGTAAAATAGTATAACTATACTGCTTGTAACAACTGATGTTTATTTAAGCATTGCTTTCAGACATTTTGAACCATTTCTGTTTTTAAGTGTGTGTATTTTTCCGATAACGCTAACATAATGGTAACATGCTAGTTTTTAAATAACAAGTAATACAGTATGTAGTGATAATGAGTTATAATGAGCTGACTTAAAACACTAACATGGATCAACTTTTGAAATCAGCTTTAAATGCCTCAAGCTGCTTGGTAACTGATTTTTCTATGTACCAATCAGTGCCCTGTAATAACAGGAACATGTTAATAATTCACTTTCAGGAAGTAGTTATAGGAATGTTTCTGTATTCATTCTTTTCTAAGTTACTAGCAATACTTGTATGCACTTGGGATTCAGGGGTGGGTGATGAATTTGGGTCTTTGTTTATGGGACAGGGAAGTTGTCTATGGCTTGGATCTGGACTTGCTGTTGTTTAGTCATTAAGTCGTGTCTGACTCTTTGTGACCGCATGGACCAGAGCACACCAGCCCATCCTGTCTTCCACTGCCTCCCAGAGTTTGGTCAAATTCATGTTGGTAGCTTCAGTGACACTGTTCAATCATCTCGTCATCTGTCATCCCCTTCTCTTGCCTTCACACTTTCCCAAGATCAGGGTGTTTTCCAGGGAGTCTTCTCTTCTCATGAGATGGCCAAAGTATTGGAGCCTCAGCTTCAGGATCGGTCCTTCCAGTGAGCACTCAGGGTTGATTTCCTTTAGAATTGATAGGTTTGATCTCCTTGCAGTCCAGGGGACTTTCAAGAGTTTCCTCCAGCATCACAATTCAAAAGCATTAATTCTTCAGCGGTCAGCCTTCTTTATGGTCCAGCTCACACTTCCATACAACACTACTGGAAAAACCATAGCTTTGACTATGTGGACCTTTGTTGGCAAGGTGATGTCTCTGCTTTTGAAGAAGCTGTCTAGGTTTGTCATTGCTTTCCTCCCAAGAAGCAGGTGTCTTTTAATTTCATGGCTGCTGTCACCATCTGCAGTGATCATGGAGCCCAAGAAAGTAAAATCTGCCACTGCCTCCATATCTTCCCCTTCTATTTGCCAGGAGGTGATGGGACCAGTGGCCATGATCTTAAGTTGTTTTGTTTTGTTGATTTTTGAGCTTCAGACCATTTTTTGCGTTCTGTTGTTTTGTTTTGTTGATTTTGAGCTTCAGACCATTTTTTGCGTTCTCTTCTTTCATCCTCATTAAGAGGTTCTTTAATCCCTCCTCATTTTCTGCCATCAGAGTGGTATCATCTGCATATCTGATGGATCTGGACTTAGTCATTCTTAAGTAAACACCTTGAACCAGTGGGACTTAATTTAGTCATTAGCTTGTTGGTTTCACTGAGTTTACTTGAAGTACTTCTAGGTCTGTACAGAACCTTTGGTATAGGACCAAACCAGTCTCACCTCCACCCAGCTGGTACCCTCCAGATATATTGGACTGCAGCTTCTATAACGTCTAGCCAACTTCACCAATGGAAGATGTATCTAGAGCACCAGGGGTGCATCAAGTTGCTAATTTTCTTGTTCTACATCTACCAGATGCCCTTTTAGAAGAACTAGCTTCTACATAACATCTTAATATGGAAAAAAAAGTTGTACGTTTTTCGGGTTGTTTGGCTGTGTTGTGGAAGGAACATAGGTGTGCTCTTTTGCTTCAGAGTGGTTATAGTCTCTGGGTCTGTCTTACCGTTTCCTCCCTGTAGAGATAGTTTCCAGGTCTGTCTTACCGTTTCCTCCCTGTAGAGGTGTTCAGTGTATTATTGAAGGCTTTCACGGCTGGGATCCAATGGTAGTTGTAGGTATTTTGGACTGTTTGGCTGTGTTCCAGAAGATGGCCAAACAACCCAAAAAACCTGCAACCACCATCAGATCCCAGCCGTGAAAGCCTTCAAGAATAAAAAAAATATAAGTATCAGACTCTGTATGATCCTGAGGCCAGCCTTGGTAAGTATCTGACTTTTTTGCAGGTGGACTCTGTATGATCCTGAGGCCAGCCTTGGGAGAAAAAGGCACAAACATGAGGATGTTAAGGGCCTACATACAGTATGTAGCCAGCTAAGAATTATTTTGAGTGAGGAGATATGGGTCAACTATATAGCAATACAACTGTCAATTATATTTTTATATACTAATTGTGTGTTAAAAGCATCACCCACTCTTGTTTTTAGATTGTGTATAAGGAGTACATTTTCCCCCTGTTCACTAACAGTGATCACAGTGCTGACAGTTGGTACTTGTATAACCATGTCAGCATATAAAGGAGGTAGCAGCAAGCTTTGGGGAATCTTAAGGTTTGAAGAAAGGCAAAGTACATTTAAAAAAAAATTGCTTAAGAACACATTTGCAATCACTAACAAAGCAGCTCAGTGATGAGTAGGAATGGTCAAGTCAGCATGGACTGCTTGGTGGTGGTGAAACAGAAAACTAAGGGAATGAAATGGAGTGGCTAAAAATCCACAACAGGCAGCTCCCACTCTGCAACATCTTGTAGCAGATTGTACTTCCTTTTCTAAATAAGGTATGTGAGCGACCTGTAGAGAAGTGAGGAACACATACATTTCAGCATGGACCACTGTGTTGCCAAATCCTAGCACTTGAAGCAAACAATTATAACAAGCCTAAGCTGTGATATATTATTTCTCTATAAGATTTACACCCCATTTTAATTCCAATGAGTTGAAAGAAAGTCTACATATTTCCCTTCATCCTAAGAGACGGATCACCCTGGGGGTGCAGGGGGCTAGTGGAAGATCATGGAATGAATTTCACAGCTCAATGGGGAGTAGGGGCTGAGTTGTTTTAAGTTGCAATCTAACATTCCACATCTAACAAATAGACCAACTCAAGATGCAGACAGTCAGTTGTCTCCAGGAATCTCACAAAATGGACATCAAGCAGTGCTTGGAAAAAGTTTTTTTTTGGGGGGGGAGGGGAGAATAGGTACCAGCTGGCATATAAAGCCAACAATCATCCCAAACACTGAAAGGACTTTCCATCAGTCAACAGAATCTCATGTCCCATCTCAGTTCTGTGTAGGAATCCGGCTGTGCAGACACTCAAAATCTGCCACCAAAATTCAAGCTGAAACAAACTGTTGCATCACTGGTTCATAGTTCTATATGTCGTTCCTCAAGTCTTACCTATGCCTATCTGCAGTACATTGGCAAGACATCAGCATTTTAAATTCAGAACAGAAGTTCTAAATTGTAACTCCCACCTAGCAGAGCATTATACTGTAATGCCAATCCAACATCATTCCCTGGGCCAAGGAGTTAAGGGTGATCATAGCCTGTATTGATGCCTTTCATTTTAGACTTCCACTCTCCATGTAACCCTCAATACCACTGTTATCAATCCTTCTACCTTATATATTTTGTTGATGCCACATCAGTTATATCACATTCACTAGTGTCCAGTCAATAATTCTGCACCAACAAACCAAGAACCACACACCATGTTGCGATCAACTAGTTACTAAACATGACCAAAAGTACTCAGACTACGTTTATGTTTGCATTGAACAAGAGAGAGGGATGCCTTCAATAGCCACCCTTAAGATTTCTCACTCAACAGTCTTCCTATTCTGCATAACACTACAATTAAACTAGAGCATGGATGGATTAACACATCAGGAAGCCAGGTTTTAGTTTGCTGAATGTTGATTTGTTGTGCCCAAATCCCTCTCTGCAAACAAGCCATGGTAAAGGTAAAGGTTCCCCTTGACAGTTTTTAGTCCAGTTGTGTCCGACTCTAGGGGGCGCCGCTCATCCTGCTTTTCAAGCCATAGAGCCAGCACCTGTCCGAAGACAGTTTCCATTGTCACGTGGCCAGTGTGACTAGGGAACGGCGTTTTACCTTCCCACCGAGATGGTACCTATTTATCTACTCATATTTACATCCTTTCAAACGTCTAGGTTGGCGAGGAGCTGGGACAAAGCGACGTGGATTCAATCTTACGACTGCTGGTCTTCTGACCCTGGAGCACAGGGTACTGCGGTTTAGCCCACAGCACCACCACGTCCCTGCCAAGCCATGGTTAGGCAGTTGTAAACCATAATTTCAAGTCATTTTGCTGCTTTTGCCATATCAATTAGAATTTTTTTGGTTACTGTTATAATCAAGATACACGCTGTCATTAAATTAAGAGGAAGCAAAAACATCCCATAGGTTACACAAAGCACCCAAGGCCCCCAGAGATTATTTATTTTAAAAAGTGGGAGGTGGTGTTTTTCTGCTCCCAGGGGCAATTAGGTATTTTTGTATGGGAGGGTCCCCTGCTATAGCATCCCACTACATAGTACCTCCAAGAATCAAACCAGAAGGTGAATAGGACAATTTGGAGCTGGAGATGGCCTTTGCAGTGTTTAGATGAAAATTTGACCCCATGACTCATGACAGTTCCCTCCTCCACTAAATGGAAGAATCAAGTTTCAAGAATTTGCTCATGCCACATTTGTTGCTACTGCATCCAAATACTTTAAAACATTTGTTTTACTTATTTTTGCAAATATAATGTTTTAAAAAAAATGACCTTTTAAAGGTACAAAAAAGTAACTGACAAAGAGGTGGCTCCCAATACCATCAGTAATTTATTACTTTTAAAAGCACCTTTTCAAGCTCTGGCTTTGCCCCAGCTTCACTTTTCTTAGCTGCCCATTGTGAAATTGGACATGAGAAAAGACATGGGAACAGAGCAGAAACAAGGAAAATGATGGTTGGTTTGGCTGCCTAAGACACAATTAGCAACTAGAACCCCCCCAAAAAGGCCTAATGTAATGTGTGAACAAATTTTCAATGTTGCAAATGTTCAGATGTCCATAAGCCACTGTAGTCTAGCAAATGGAAGTAAAGACTAGCAGCTGGGTTGCTAGAGAGGCTGGGAAAAGTTTCCCATGTCAAGAGTGTAGAAAATACAATAAACCAAGAGCACACCGGTACATCTTTAAAGTTCAAACTGGAAAACAAATGTGCTTTTCTGTTTGTTTGTTTTTATTTGGGAAAAGTGCTTCTTACAAAAGGCAGCTGCAAAGTAACACAGACTTCAGCAACAATTTCTGATTCATTTAAAAGTGAAAGGAGACGCAATCTAAAGGACAGAAGCAGAAGAGATCAAAGAGAATCCAGCAGCATTAAATGTAATGGGAAGTTAAAATTGCACTAAGGGAGAAAGGAAGAAAGAGGGAAGTGGGGAGGCTTTGGTGACATCTGGACTTCTCTACAGACTAGCTGTTTGGCTGTTTATACATGAGGACAAAGTAGTAACATACATGTTGTATAACCAATCTAAATTCACTTGCCCAACTTTGCAAGTTGACAAGGGGCTTCTTAACTAAGAAAGAGAAGACTCTACTTGGCTGTTACTGATCATCTACAATATTTTTAAAAGATGAAGTGAACACAGGGATCCCAATACACCATGGTCCTCCACTGGTAATTGTTTGGTCCAGACCCTCTTTGGCTAACCATGTTTCTACGCCTGCACAAGTCAAATACAACCACATGAAGAGGCAAGGTGGCTAGAAAGGAAAGAAAAAGGAAGAGTGCTGGTGTCATAAAGGAAGTGTCAACTACCAAGTCCTATTAGCTGGTTTAAAGATTATTTGCACAGAATTGGTTGAGATCCACAACATTTACTTCAAAATCCAGTCAGATGTCAAAACACTGTGCACCAAAAAAAGGTGTGCATGTGGGAAGGGGGGGTGAGAGAAGGATAGGAAAGTGGAAAGTTTTAATATACACATATACCAAGTTGCCCAGCCCTTGGAATACAATTCTGCATTTTATTTGTATATACACACATAGAAAGTTCTCCTTTCACACACAAACACGTTTGCCTTTCATGCCAAAACAGTAAAAACCCGGAACATTCGCGCGCCTGGTTCTGGTTACACAGTAGTAAATAGTAATGTGCAAGTAAACAAGAGGCCAAAACCACAAATGAACACGTGTACATGAGGAGAGGTTGGAATGGAGCTGAAGCCAGCCAGGAAAATACACCACTAGCCTGGTATCCGAAATAGAAAAAAACACGTTTCCAAAGTCCATAGTGGAAAGAGGCCATTGGCCAACTTCTGCCTGTCCCTCCCCTCGCCCGATGCACAGCCGCTGCTCGTATGTTTGTATCTGGGCTCTTCAAAATGAGTGTGGAGTCATGTAAACACTTGAACCCTGGAACTGGGTGAATCCTGTCAGGAACACAGATATGAAGCAACAAGTCTAATCTAACTGTCTGACAGTTAAATTCATTTGTACAAAAAAACCCTAACATTTTAAAGGTTTATTTCATGTCATTTGTTTTAACAGAGAAGAAAAAAACACACACTCCTAGGGCTGGGTGAGTGGGGTGGGAGATCGAGAGCAGGGAAAGGGAGACAGACCCTGGGTCAAATGTTATTACAATAGCAGCACCTGGAATGGATAGGCCTGCCTAAGAGGGGGGGAAAAAAACAAAACACAGGCACTGCCACAACACCACAGGAAAAAGAGCTACTGCCTGAAAATCAAGCAGGCAGTTCAAACTCCACAAAGAGGTGCTATAGATCCAAGTCATAATAGTCTTCCAGCTCATCGTGAAACAAGTCCCACTCGTCCTCGGAGTCTGTCAGGTCATCATCGCCTCCTGCCGCCAACAACATGAGAAGCATCTCGCCTAGCTCAAAGGTCACCACATCATCCTCGTCGTTCTCAAAGGGATCACTGCCCTCCCTCTCTTCGATGAATTCCCAAAACCGGTTCCTCCGCTGGGCCTGCAAAGTGGAGCACAGTTATCGGCCTCAGGTGAGTGACGTTTCCAGGAACAAAACCTCGTCTTTAGGCCAACACAAAGAGCTCCACCGCCCATTTCTTGCTCCTCAGCTAAATGAGCGAAATGAGGAATGTGTAGGACATCATTAAGTGGTGGGTTTTGAGGGTGCCATTGTTGTCTTCAAGACACAAAAAAAGCTCTGCAGATACTCAGGCTGATCCCAGCCATTATACAATGGCTGTACAAGCAGGTAAATCGGACATGAAGGGTTTGCCCAAGGATCATGTGACATTATACCACCTCTTCCTTATGGGCATAGTTCTTGCATCTTTGAATCAGCATCTAATTATGCAACCAGTATAGGCAGCCACCAGCTGAAACAAGTGCAGAAATACCCACATACTGGAGTAGGCTTGCAAAATCCATGACCTACAAAACAGGGGACACCCTTCCTAACCATGTTACCAGTGGTATATGAAGTGCTAACGCCACCTGTTTTTGCAGTCCTCAAAAGCAGTGAAATGTTGGAATCTCTGATAGGTAACTGTGCATGACTGGCAGGATGCAGCTAGCTTGAAGGGCTGCAGTTATACAGGACTACATTATGTATCTCTGACTGCAGAGTTTCCAAACAGGTGTTAATGTTAGTTGATTAAAGCAACTGGCATGATATCATTGTGTTCACTACATTCTGACTGCAGAGTTTCCAAAAAGGTGTTAATGTTAGTTAACTGGCATGATATCATTGTGTTCACTACATAACCCCTGATTATCTGGAATCACATAAAGGGAGGCCTTTAAGAAACAGATTAGGGGAAACAGGATCTAACAGTAAACACAAAATAACAGAATAAACAGAAGACCTAAGGCACCTTAAAGATCATGACCAGGCTACTATCGATTCCTATATCAAGAAATATATTTTTTAAAAAATCAAAAACCACATAGTCTCCACACACCCTCAGTTTCTGCAGCATAGGGTTAAAAAACCCTATGATCCTCTGGAGTTTTGAGTGCCCACAGAGAGCCTAATAATGAGGGAGAGAAGGACAAGGGTCTCACTGCAGTTGCGTGGGGCTATGAGAGCTGGGGGAATTTTCCTCCTCTGAGATCCACTGACAGGTTCCTTCCATCAGCACAATGAGCCAAAAAGGGTCCTGGCATAACCAGTTTATTACGACAGGGGTTGTAAAAGCTTGATATATAACAAACTTGCTTATTGTTGAGGTGCCAAACAATTCTGACTGAAGAATGAACTCAGCATTACTAAATAAATAAGGATGAGCCATCTCTTCATACTCATGTGGTATTATTAAAGAAAAAAATACAACATGCCATGTTCCTTCTCAGACCAAATGAGGAATAATTTGTTCTCACATGAAGTACAAATGAGTAACTTTACCTGCACCCCCACCCCATTTAAAACAGTAATTCTGCTTAAAATTCACATGGTAAAGGAGATACGAAAGACGATTTTGGCTAGGGCTGATCTGATCTTGGGGTTTGGAAGAGATAGCATGTTCCATAAAACCGATCACCACCTGCAAAATGAACTCATGTCCATGTAATTTTGCAGATTTTTCATAACAGGGTTCGTATGTTCAACAGCAATGCCAGGAAGCACTAGCCCCACTTTAATTTGGCTTTGAGATGTCAAACAGTTGAGTTTGGTAATGGTGTCACTATATTTTTTACAGGTTCCCTGACTGGTTGGGATCACACAGAAAGAAGCCCATCAAAATTATTCATATTTTGTAAATTGGAGGAAGCAGCATCTAATAACAAAAACAATCTAGCTTAACACATCTTACCTTTGTCTAAAAAAACGAACCAACATAAAACTGTGGGACTTACTCTGTATCTACTTGAAGTTCCCACTTTCTGCCTCTGGGGCTCTTCACGGCGGCCATCGGGATATGCGTGTTTGTAAAAACAGTTCCCTCCAAATGGGCAGCTCCCACGACCTTCATCAAAATACCTGCATGGCTTGTTGCTGGAAAGGAAAATATCGCAACCCTTACTCACAGCATAGCCAATCAGAATTCAGTACTGCATTTGCTTTATAATCCAGGTGATTTCCTTTTAAAAAGAGGCACTGCCTGCTGCTGAAGCCATTTTACAATCAGTCTACACAGGTACACAATGGATTAGGTGAACGTACATACTCAAAAGGTGTGCACATGGGTAGGTACATGCAGAGGAGAAAATCTGTGCTAGCATGTAATACCAGTTAGGGCCAGGCTGTGATTGGGTGGGCAAGGAAACAGTTTGTGAAGTTGTCTGGCAAAAAAGAGCGACGAAGTAACGCGTGATCCGCATGCATCTGCTGGTGTTTAAAGATGCATTTTGTGGAAGGGAGAGGGTAGGAAGGAGGTATGAGAGGACTTCAGGTAACACCCTGCATTTCTCCAAGTATGCCCTTAATGTCTGCAGTCAAACTTGCTCCGAGGCTGCCGTGCTCATACCTCATTGCCTCCTTGTATTTCTGAATGAGTTTCTGCTTCTCTTCCTTCTCCTCCACCCAGTACTCACTTGGAATGACAAAGTTAGATGTGATCCGACATTCTGGGCAGGACCTGGAGAACGAACAGACTGCACTGCAAAATTCCACATGACAGGGGCATTATCTTCAGCTACAGACACACCACAGCATATGCCCACCTTCTAAAGCAGTCTATTGTACTTCAGAGGTCTGTACCATGTTCCTTTCACAAAATAAATTTCACCCAGACCACAATCCCCACCATTTTCTGAGGTTCTCAATTCTGTAGCTTCTCCATTACTTAAGAGCATAAGGGGAAAAACATTTCACACACAGACTCATTTTGCTTTAGATATAAATAAATTTATTATTATTTTTTGTAACTTTGCTTTCTGGAATGTCCATATTGGTTTGGGATTTTTTTTTCCAGGCAGACTTTAAAGAGGGATAAATTACTGGTTCAGTAATGAACTAGAAGACTGAAGGCTTATGTAACACACATTTGAATCTGTCTCTTTCAACATCTGAACCCAAATGATTTTGCATTTTTAACCAATAGGATAGCATGTTGTTACGATTTAACAAAAAAAAGCGAAAAAAGGAGAAAAAAGATGACTTAACATTCAAACAAAATGGAACTCACTGACCTATCAAGAATACCAAGGTCAGAAAGTATACCCAAATAACCCTCAATTCTGAATAGTAACTTTACTTATTAACCACAGTCTTGGGATGAAAGAGGGGTGATGTTCCAAGTTCACGTAACATACTAATTTCTTCCCAAGAAACAAAGCACAACGGACATGGGGAAGTGCCTCACTTTATAATCTTGCTCTCAAATTGTTTAGCGCTCCTCCACTTGCGGATGCACTTGAGACAGTAAGTGTGATTGCAGTTGGAGAGGATCCCAAAGCGGCGTTCGCTGGGGTTGGCCTTCTCGTACACCACCTCCATGCAGATCCCGCACACCATGTCTTTGCTACGCTGGACGGCAAATGAGAGCTCCATGTCCTTCTCGTGAGCCTCAATGCAAGACTGCAAGGGAGAGAGGAAGACCATGACAGATAGCTTCCAACCACAAGGATAACCATGGAGGACAAGCCCCATGTTGACATAACATTTCTTGCCTGAAGCAGTGCACAAATGTACCAGCACCCCTTCTGTCATGAGAGTGAGTATAAGAAGCCACTTTCCTCTGAATTGTGGTTACAACCAGGCACTTACAGTCAAAATTCTCTCTTGGGAGCGGCACGGAGACTTCATGGCACAGGAGATGCAAAAACCAGAGCCCTCTGGGGTGTGTGTGTGTGTTGGGCAGGCTTTCAACTCCCATGTCTTCTGCTGCTCGGTGCTTCTTTGTTTATTGTCTGCCCTCCAGGCTCCAGTGGGAGAGAAAACTGGTTTGCTAGACTCAAGTCTGGAGCATGTATTGCTCTCATTCAGGGGGTGGGGGATAAAGTAGCAGGGAAGAAGCAGGCTTTGGATCTCAGGGATGCAAAACATTCTCCTGTCTGCCCAGAACACAGCTCCTTTTTGTCCCCTTTGTCAGAGCACTGATGGAAGAGGATCCTTTCTGCCACCAGCAGGGGGAAGCATTTGTGAGGTGACTTTCTTATGCATCTTGGGAGAGGGGATATCAGCTATGGCAGTGGTCCCCAACCTTGGGCCTCCAGATGTTCTTGGACTACAACTCCCAGAAGCCTTCACCACCATCTCTGCTGGCCAGGATTTCTGGGAGTTGAAGTCCAAGAACATCTGGAGGCCCAAAGTTGGGGACCACTGAGCTATGGGATTATCAGCTATGGTTCCTGGGATGCCTTCCCAAGAACTAAATGATTGCAACCTTCAAAAACTTTAAAAGGATTTTCTACAGGCTTTAAAAACAGCGATAGTACTGTATCTTACTGTCCTATATTCTTTTCTTCCGTTTTAAATGCTGGTTCTAATTCTGTAATGTACTGTTTTATCTTAAACTGCTTTGAATATATTAAGAGAAATGTGACTGAATATTATAAGTGTAATAAAACTTCAATCAAGATGGAAGTTTCACTCTTTTGCCCTCTCATGCATGCACGTACAGTATTCAGTTTCACTGAGTCCAATGAAACTCACTCACAGATTATGTATGCAATTCTCAAAACTGGCAACAAGTGGCCAGATCAAATCAAACTATCCTCTAAATGCCTTAACTACCGCATCATTCCCACATCCCGAATTGGAAACAAAAACAACTACTTTCATATATTGAAAAGGATGGAGAGTTGTATACTGGACACAAAAATACTGTATTTTCCTTTTGAGATATCTCTTTTAGACTATAGCCCAAGGATACTGTCCAAGTATTATTCTATTAATATCCACTCTGGGAGTGGATATTAAAAGAGCAGAATAAAATTGCTTTAAAGTCAGAAATAAGAACACATTTCATCCCTCGGGACTTTTAGATATAAAGGTTCACTTTACATGGAACAGTAATTTAAGACAGTTATGATAGTATAGTTGTCTTTTTAAGGAGAAAGGCGAGATAAAAATATTTTAAATAAATTACTCTTGTTGACTGACCACAAATATGTGATTTAGCATTCAGAACTCAAACTCTACAACAGCCTGTCTTCAGTTACTTGGGAAACAGCTTGTCTTTCACGACTAGTCAGAGGCTGATGATAGTTATTTTGTGGTGAGGACCAAGAAAGAGCCTCAGCATTTTCCAATGTGCCCATAGTCCCTGGGGAGGCTGAAAACCCCTTTCCCAGATTTATTGTAACTGCTCCTTTTCTATCTGAAGGACAGCAGATAACAGTTGTCCCAACTCCTATTCTGCTTGTTCTGCAAAGGTCCTATAAAACCTGAATGGCATAAAAATGGTACCATTGTTCTCACAGCAAAACATTAATCTCTGTGAAGAACTGTGGACATTTTCTGAAGAGAAAACTAAAGCATCTTGCAAGTATCCTTGTTGAGCCAGAAAGTCCATCGCAATTGTGTCCTGTGAACCACATATGCCCAAGCAATTTAAATAATTACAGTGCTGTATAAAGCTCAGGGTAGAGTGATACCCAGTTTGGTCCAGTGGATAGAGTGATGGACTTGGACTCGGGAGGCCTGGATTCTAATCCCTGCTCAGCCTGGGCAACTCACTGGGGATGTGGAACTGATAAAATCATCCCTTAAACATCTCACTTACCGTAGAAGCCCTGTTAAGTCAGTTCCAACTTGACAGCACATAACAAGAACAGCATTTAAATCCTCTGAATCCCAAAATACAGTAATCCAAATATTAACTATTACAGTACTCTGCATATTTTTATCAGTTTACAATTATTACAAGAACTACTATGAAGCTTGCAAGTTTGCGAAAATGGCAATACTTTAAAACTCCAGATGGCCAACTACTTATTTTATTTAATCTTCCTAACAACAACAATAACCTTAGAACTGCAGAGCTGGAAAGGACCCTATTGATCACTGAGTCCAGCCTCTGTCAAGGAAGCTGCAAGCATAATCAAACCTTCACCTTCTGATTCTGCAGCTAGATACCTACACCACTGAGCTATCCAACAGTTCTTACCTTTATGTGCAAGGATCGCTGCCCAGCATCAGCAGGATGGAGGACCTGCAAGCCACACATGTCACATACATCTCCATGGATATATACACAGTTTTCTCCATAACGGCATTCTCCGACTGCAGCGTAAGGACAAAGTTGCTTTTTCATTTCCAGATTTGTTTGCTGTTTTTCATATTCTTCTTCAATGACCATTCCCTGCAAAGGTGTTTCAGTGCAGGAAGGAGCAGCTGGCAAAAATCAGAAGGAAGACAGAGACCATGTTATTTCTTCTAAATCATTATATTATAAATATTTCTATATCATTTGAATGTCAGATTCTAAAACTACAATGATCAGTCAGTTTATCTTAATAAAAATAACCTTCAAAGTGGGTAAAATGATTTTTAAAATTGTAATTTAAATTTTAAAAAACCTGACTTTCAAAAATATTTTTTATTTACATTGGAGTTTTAAATTGTTTTTGCTAAAATGCCACACAAGTGTGTGAATACTGTTGCATATATGGGCATCTACAATGTTGCTCCCGGAGGCTGGCTGGCACATTTTGGCAACTCCTGCAACAGTTCAGCTCACTACTACTGCAATTGAAATCACCGTTCCATGCTGTTAAACTCCTATACATGACTATGTAACTAAATATGAATGGGGGCCAGACCATATACCTTCCGTACTTTTAACTGTAGGTGGAAGTGTTACCATGAAGCCCACTTTGTGCTTTATGGATATGCAGATTTGATTGTGCGGAAGAATTAGTAATGGGAAGCAGTCCTTACTCTTCCAGGATATCAGGCTGGAGTCATAATGACCACAGGTTGGGAAAAGATGGAAATACCTATAATGAGCTCTTCTCCCACTGCCCCCCTCTTTTAATATTGCCCAAGAAAATTGTTTTGAAAGAAAAACAACTTGGTTCAAAGGTTTTACAAGCTGACAGTAAAATGAAAATGCAACAATGAAAGGCCACTTATGTACAAACTGCAAGAAAAGATGGTTAAGTTGCAAATATATCCAAGTGATGGAAGTAGATTTCTGTATGCGACACATTTGAATGTTGGAAATGGTGTGTGATCTTTGAACTACTGAATAAAAGTAGGTGAGCATTTGTCTTTCCAGTGCTTCAGGGTCTGCCTTTCAGTCTCCAAAAAGGAACAGAAAATATATTCCTGCTATATGGAAGTTGATTTCCAAAATATCTTGGAAAGACAAATGGATGTTTGAGCTCTTTCTCAGTATAGAAGTTGATTTCCAAAATATCTTGAAAGACAAATGGATGTTTGAGCTCTTTCTAGAAGCAAAAATGAGTGAACTATGGTTACTTTATTTTAGATATATCAGGAAAAGACAAGACCCACTGGGAAAAACAATAATGTTGGGAAAAGCTAAAGGCAGCAGGAAAAAAAGAAGACCAAATGTGAGATGGGTTGACTCAATAAATGAACCACAGACTTGAGTTTGTAAGACTTAAGCAGGGTTGTTAATAATAGGACCTTTTGAAGGTCACTATTTTATAGTGTCACCAAAGTCAGGAGCAACCTTGACGGAGCATAACAACAACAGAAATAGTCAGGATGCTTAAGCTATCAGATGCTTTGCACTACAATTCGCACACTGTGTTATTGCATGCCATGTTGGCTGAGCCATCTGGAACTTGAAATCCAAAATACAACAAGACGACAAATGTTCTCCGATCCTAAATTGCACGGTTATATATCTGCAAACAATATACTCAGTATATTGTTAGAGAATCTGTAATACTGACTATGAACACTTACTCCAAAATCATTCTCTTGATAACAAGATGCCAAATTACTAATCAAGATGATATTATTCACACAAAGAACATTCAGCAAGATTTACAAGGAAATGACAATAAAGCTATGTTCTTTCACAACATGCTGAGAAAGACTTAATAAGCTACTTATTTAGAAAGCACATACTGGTTGAAATACTGTTGTACAGGGGGAAGGTAAATGGATTAACACTCACTTGCTTTCAGCTGGCAATTAAAGAATCACTGCTGGGATTTTGGGGGTGGGGAGGGGGGGCAGAAGCATAACAGCCTGTACCACAAACAAGAATTTCAGCTGCAACTGCCAGCTGGAAGCAAGTAAATGTTACCCCCTTTGCTTTCTGCCTGACTAAAAAAGTAACAGAATTTCAGCTCTTGTCTGGGAACAGAAATCCCACTGATATCCATCAGCCTTCTAGGTTATGGTGCACAGTATTAAACTGTCAATGTAACAGTTTAATACTGTCTTATCTCTCACCACGCATTCCCAGCTCTCTTTTCCTCTTCTTTACAGATCACACATAAGTGTGCCCACATAAGCACAAGGCAATGCGAGATTGAAACCACCGTGACTCAAGTATCAGACATATCCTGTGTGCATTTCAGTTAGGGATGTGTACTGTCATAGGACAAATATGCAAAACCAGACTGAATTGGGCTACTTATGCAATTCTGGAGTGACTATGGAGTGAAGGAATCACTCTTCAATCCTAGTGCAGAGCAACATCACAACAGATCCTTCATTTCCAATTGGCATTTATAGGGTAAAAGAAATGGTCAGCTATTCAACTGTGCATGCACCTTGGAACACAATCAATACTTCACTAATGAGCAGCAACATGCCATGCCACCAAGAATCATGTGGTATCCCTTCACTTCACTAATGAGCAGCAACATGCCACCAAGAATCATGTGGTATCCCTTATGCAAGAAAAAACTAGCAATAAGATTCTGGCCAAAAAGCCCATTAAGTGCTAATACTTGCAAATAAAGTTTATAAATACTGTAGTGAATCAACTTACTGCGGCCACAATATGGCTGCCCAGGAACAAACTCCACTGCATTGACCCAATCTTCAGCACCAGCTCCGACAACGACCAAGTCTCTGTCTTCAATTTCAGTCTCACTGGTGCTTACTTCAAGTGTTGCAGAGGATGAGGTCACATCTGTGGAAGCTGATGGATATGTTTTTGCAGCTGGACTCACAGTAGTCACTTCTTCCCTTTTCAATGGCTTGGTATGTTCATATCTGGTAAGGGAGAATCAGAATTGGACTTTTATCCTCTTCAGCAAAAATGGATGTAGAAATCACTGCTGTGTACTGAAGTTCATTTACAAAATACTCAAGACAAGCAGGTCCATTATATGCCATAGATGAGGGCACATTCTCATGCAGTGATGGCGAACCTTTTTGTGCCCAAGAATGCCCAAATCAGCAGGCATCCTCCAGAGGGTGGCCAGGGGGTGTCTTTCCCCCCTCCCCAAATATCGGCAAGGCGCTTGCCTGTTCTTTAAGAGTGAAGCAAGCTTCCTGTGCTGCGCTCCTCCCTGCTTGCTCACTCTCTTGTGGGGCCGGAGCCACAGTCAATGGGCAGCTGCAAGGGGTGGCCAAGTGCAGCTCCTCCTTCGTCTCTGCCACGGCTGCCCAATCACCTCCTCCAGCGCCACTCACGGGTTCTCTTTGGGCGGGGGAGGGGAGACAGCAGCGTGAGCTCAAGCTGAGCCCCAGCAGTGAGTGGTGCTGTGCCCCGCACGAGGCTGGCATGGACGGCGGCATCACCATGGCTCACATGCCCACAGAGAGGGCTCTGCATGCCAGCTGTGGAACATGTGCCATAGGTTTGCCATTGCTGTTCTAGTGCTTCTCTCTATATAGAATATACGAGGACATTTTTTAAAAAGTTGGAGAGCAAGTTTTGCAAATTACAAAGGTCCCAGCATCTTCCTTTCAAATGCATGGTAATTTGCTCAGTTTGATGAGAAATGGTGTTCTCGGCCTCTAGCAGGAGCATCAGATCAACAAGTCCCTTTGAAAAAAACGTAAATACCAGAGACCCTCTTCTCCGTTCCTTCATTCCAAGCACACTTTGAAATATCTGTTCTGTAATGGGCAACAGCAAATTTGCCTCTCATATGTTTTAATTCTCACATGCTTATCTTATCATTCAGTCAAGGAGTGTAGGGTGACATACATGGGATTATCACATTTTATCCTCATTATCCTTCCTGCACATGCTGGATCAAGAGGAAGAAAATACTTTCAACCAATGATGGGAACAAGATGGTACTAGTTCTCAGATAGTAAGGAAGTTGCTGCTTGTTTTCCCTCAAAGACACAATGCACAAACAATTGTCACGTCATACATCCATACGTATGTTCTTACTATATTTATAGCCTGCCTTCACAACTGTCACGTCATACATCCATATGTTCTTACTATATTTATAGCCTGCCTTTCTTCCAAGGAGTGCAGGGTCTTGCACATGTCCTCTCCATTTTATCCTCACTATGGTCCTATGAGGTAGGGGAGGCTGGCACAGTGACTGTCCCAAGTGAGCTTAATGATACAATACAAACTCTTACAAAGATCAACCCAGTTGGAGCCTGGCACTATGTTGGCCTGACACCACCACAAACTTGCATATATTATTGTAGTTTATTACAATTTCAGGACTTTCATTCAAACCCATATCCTTTGTCTAAGACATTTAAATTGCTACCTTATAATACTAAAACAAAATACAGAGGGATTGATATGTTGGCAGATTAACTTAATTGTTTTGGACTGTTAAGAACCATATCACACATAAACTCCTATATAAGGTTTAAAAGAACAGTTTCCCGCATTTTGCTATGTGGCTGCTCTGATTCTGCAGACATTTGTCTGGCACATCAAGCATCAATCTTTTCTTTAATAGTGGCTTTAACATGGTACGTAGAGCCAATTCATTTGTAGGGGTCACCAATCTATGCAACAAATAATAAAGGCTTTCAGCCTGCAGGCACTCCATTAAGCAACTTAAAGTCTTCTTACAGTTTATTTTAACACCTCAAAGCAGCTGTCCCTAATATAGTGACTATATGATATGTTAAGACTGCAACTCTCCTCATCTCATGACAGCTGAGCAGTGGGAGCTGTAGTCTACTACACCTGGAGGGCATCTGATTGTGAATGGCTGCCTCAAGGCATAAAATCAAGAAAAGGAACCTACATTTCATGCATGCCAGAGTGCTACTTATTAGCATGCTGTAAGAGCTCTGTTTGCATTCATATCAGAAAACACATTCCTGTATAATTTTTTTCTGGATCAACAACTGAATGCCTCAAAAATAAAAAGGTTTAAGGATGTAAAGGTATTTTAATGTTGCTAATGGATTAGGTACACATTCTGATAGGCTGAAGCTGTGCAACTACCACTTATAGTACTAGAAAAACTGGCCAAGTGAGCTAAACCGGACAGTAATCTCCCACTGTCTAAAAGTGATTCCCAAGCTCTAAGGAAAGTGGCATTAATAAAGTCAGAAGTTGCCTTCTTTGTTCAGACTTTTGTTGTTCTTATCAATAAGTTTATCAGTGTATCAAAGAATCATAAGTTTTTTTTACTTCCTTAAAATACAAATGACTTTGAACAAATACATGTAGGATCAATGTTAATTTTATCTAACAATTTTCATGTGTAAAATATTTTACATTTTCCCCCTATAAGAGGCACTTGACATGTGATGCTAGACAGCACATGATCATTATAACTCTTCAGAAGCACTACAGTAGCTTTTAGGAGGGGTTAACAATTTGGGGGCATATGGACAACTGCATGACATAAAGAGAGGCTGAAAGATAAAGACAGCAGTTTCCCCAGCCTTATTCAGATATTATATCTTAAAGTAAGACCAAAACATGGGCAGGTTGTACCAAGTAGCTCCCTTCTCCAGCCTCTACATCAGTCCAGAGGGAACCCTACTATTAGGCAGAATGAAATGGTTGCCACAGGCAGCACATGCTGGGACACGACAGACAGGTGCTGAAGAAGGATTATCTGCCATGCAGTTTGGCTCGCATTTCTTAAGCTAGTCTACTGCCCCTGAATGTGCTGGAAGATATTTCCAGATTGCCAATGCTGCAGACTCAACTGCCCGTCTAGTTTTTTTTTCACATGGACTAGCAAGAGGCACTCTTCTGTTCTTTGCTTTGCAGACTCAACTGCCAGTCTAGTTTTTTTTTTCACATGGAATAGCAAGAGGCACTCTTCTGTTCTTTGCTTTAGGCGGGCAAATGTCATGGGCATGCAAAGCAGTCCAAATAACCTGACATGTTGCTTTTATGTAAAACATGTCAGGTTAGAACCTGCCCTGGTGAGAACTCTTGTAAGAAGAAGAATTTCTGTGACAAGTGTGTTTGCTGACCTACACATTGACTGGTTTTTGAACTGCTCATTTAATTCTTCTGAAATTAAACAGGGGGCAGGTAGGAAGATACTGAGAGCTATTGGTCATGAATATAGGGGATTAGTTCTGTATTTGAGTTTTAATAATTAATTCTGTGTAACTAATTATCATTTTTATGATATATGGGGCAGATTTCTTGAATACGTGCTAACAAGAGGAAAAGGGAAAGCTCCAAATCAAGAATCGATGCAGTTCTGGAGAAGAGGACAATAAAGGACGAAGAAGAATAAAGACAAAGGAAGAAGAAGATTACTGAAAGAGGTCCCAACTATGGAAGTTGATTTGTATTTTGGTTTATGTATTTTATGTTTATGTTGCAGTTTTTAAAAAATTATATAAATTTTAAAAAAACCCAGTAAGCCGCATTTCTGTACCTGCAACGATCTCCGTAAGCACAGCATCCTCGCTGAAAATACCTGCACACCATGGCAGACTGACTAGTGTAGAGATCATGAGAGTAACGGCAGTTATCCCCCTCCTTGCAAACACCATGCATGAAATACCTGAAAGACAGAGCATCGCAAAGACAACTCAATCAACAATGTTTTAAAGGTATTCCACTATACTCAGTGCAAATAAATGAGAAGCAACAGTGAATCATCTGGAGAAATTAACGTGAACCTTCAGATGTCATAAATAACACCCATCCTTCAGAGATTTTTCTTAATTGCTGTTTGCCAAACATACAGGTCGGTAGTCAACAGCATCTCCACTACAGCTGAAAATTTAGTAAAATGTGTCTGTCTTGAGAATGTTGGGACCATTTTCAAAACTTGGGAAAGTTAATATTTTACACTACATTTCCCATAAATAGCAACAGGGGAAAAACCTAACTTTCCCAAGATCTACTTTTCCTAGAAAGAAAGTACAGTAACTTTCTCAAGTTTTGATTTTTTCATATACAAAAGCTATTTTGTCCTGCTTGGAGAGAAAGAGAAAAATACTAGAATCTCATAATACTAGAACCCTGGGTCATGCAATGTCCAGTACACTTAGAACCGACAGAAAAGGATGTTATCACATAATGGACATTTCTTGAATTATCTGCTATAAAAGTGGTCATCAACACAGGCACAAACAGATGACTAAACACAGGGTAATCTGTGCTTCCATTAGATGATCAACACAGATACAGTAATCACCTTTAATGCAGAAGATTAGAGAAATTCATGGAAGATAAGCCTAGCAGCAATTATTGGTCATGATAACTAAATAAAACCTCCATATTCAGCATACTTATAAATATAAGCTGCTTAGGGCCAAAAGTGGAGAACATCAATGCCTTTATGCAATGTTGGGTTAGTCATAACTATAGTTTATTAAAAACAGCCAGCACCCAAGCTTTGGTTTAAGACAATGATTTGGCTTAGAAAACCAATGTCTTGCTTTAAAAAGAGTGTTTAGAAGGATGTGGGCTAGTGATGCTGGCCCTCCAAAACATGGTAAAATTGCTTTCCATTTCCCCTTAAGGACTAAAGGGGACTTCCTGAGTCTTTTTGGAAGAGAGAGAGAGAATGAGAGAAAGAGAGAGTGCAAGTCCACAAGAGGATATTGTGAGGGCTGGCAGACCAAAAGGTGTCTATCCTTGCCAGAAAGGCAAGGCACAGCTTATTCTTAAGCATAAGGCGAGGCCTAATCAGTGCTGAATAGAGGGGGACTCGCATGATAAACAGTTTTTAAAGACTAACTATAACTTCTGTTGAATCATTCATTGGGCCCGTTTAGTTTGCCCCTTTGCACTTAGCTATACTATGCTTTTTCAGTCATACCAAATTTGGCATATGATAGAGGAGGATGGTATCAGTCTTGGTCCACATACCACATGTCCAACTTGAAATCAGATTGTGAATCAGTCCCACAAGGTGAAGTATTAAACAAAATCATGTAATGTCTATAGGACCCTAGAAGATGCTCCCTTCTTGCCTTCTTTTGTGTTGATATTTAGGTTTATGTGAATGACTGGACTACTGTGACTGAGGAAAACACACAGCAAGTGATAATCCCATGTGAATGAACTGCTGCATATCTTAGTGGTTTAGGTATTTGTGGTTCAATTCCCCACTGTGTCTCCTTACAGGACCTGGACTAGATTATCAATACTGTACAGTCCTTTCCAGCTTTGCAGTTCTAAGAATATTTAGTAAATTTGGTAAATATGAACATCAACATGAAATTGCAGAACAGTGGCCTGAATTGAATTGCTGGTCCAAGCTACAGTAGACTGACTCCATGGATTTCTTACAGGACCTGGATTGGATTATTAATACAGTCCTTTCCAGCTTTGAAGTTCTAAGAATATTTAGTAAATCTGGTAAATATGAACATCAACATGAAATTGTAGAACAGTGGCCTGAATTGAATTGCTGGCCCAAGCTACAGTAGACTGACTCCATGGATTTTACATACTCAAGATTTTACTATTGATTCAAAGCAGCACACTTTGCTTTGATCCAATAGGTCTACTACAGTTTGGAATAGCAAAAGCATTTAAGCCTCTGGCTTTTCATTTTGTATTATAGGCAAGCATATATGTAGATTTCCTGGGACTCTATATGTGACTTCATGAAACTTTACCTCACCCTATCTTCACTTGATGCTCTCAAGATACAGTGGTGCCCCACATGACAATGATAATCAGTTCCAGGAAAATCGCTGTACAGCAAAATCTTCGTCATGCGGAAAAAAAAATCCCCATTGGAATGCATTGAAAACCGGTTAATACGTTCCAATTGGGAAATACCTCATTGTCCAGCAAAGATCACCCATAGAGAACCACTGATCAGCTGTTTAAAATCGCTGTCTTCTGAAGCTTCTGTCCAGAAAACAGCATTTTGCGAAGGGAAGGAAGCCATTTTGCGAAGGAAAGCCATTTTGCGGAACTGGCAAAATCATCGTTTAGTGAACAAACAGTTCGAAAAGTAGGGACCTAACCAACGTAAAGCGGATTTCCCCCACAGGAACCATCATTGCGATCGCAAAAAAGTTATCGTCAAGCAATTTCGTCGTTTACCGAGGTAAATGTCTAGCAGGGCTCCACTGTATTGTTGGACTCCTGACTCACACCAACCTGAGCCAGTAGAGTCAAGATAAAAGGAAGACGCGAGTTGCAATTCAACAGTATCCTCTGTTCCTCGTCAAGCAATTTCGTCATTTACCGAGGTAAGCGTCTAGCAGGGCTCCACTATATTGTTGGACTCCTGACTCACACCAACCTGAGCCAGTAGAGTCAAGATAAAAGGAAGACGCGAGTTGCAATTCAACAGTATCCTCTGTATGTGCGCACGCACGCACGCACGCACGCGCGCACCCAAGATAAACGGAAGATGCGAGTTGCAATTCAACAGTATCCTATGTATGTGCGCACGCATGCACACACACACACACACCATGGTTGAAGAATCTTTGATCTTCTAGATAGATTACAACTGTCACAATTCCCTGCCACTGCCTCTATCTCTGAAAGTTGATGTCCAAAACATATGGTGGGTCAAATACTTCTTCCAGCTGTAACCAGTTGTTCGCAAGTTGTTTGCTCAAACAACTGACTGCTTCCTATTTCATTTTGCTTTAGCATATTAGAATAAATTATAACTATTCTTAGTAATTACTAAGTAGAACTGCTGCATAGTTCAGTGGTTAGGTCTCTGGCTGCAGACCAGAGGTTGGCAATTATTCTTAGTAGTTACTAAGTAGAACTGCTGCACAGTTCAGTGGTTACGGTAGTTCTCTGGCTGCAGACCAGAGGTTGGGAGTTCCATTACCCACTGTGCCTCCTTGATGGGCTGGACTCAAAGATCCATAGGGTCCCTTCCAGCTCTGCAGTTCTAAGATGATGATTATTATAGTTATACATTACAACTGTTCAAGAAACTTTGCATACATACACAAACAGTTGTTCTAAGATTATGATTATAGTTACACATTTCAAGTGTTCAAGAAACTTTGCATACATACACAAACAGTTTATTGATCCACTGATAACATTTTGTATACAGTATATGCTTATACAGGTCCTATAAGGATAATATTGTTTCCATATTGTAGCCATATCTGTGAGAGTGCTAGTCCCACTACCAGACAGAAGGAGACAATCTCAGTGATCTGTGCTTGGGGAAAATAGTGAGTCTTTATTAACTGTTCCCCATCCCCCTTTTCCTTTTCTGGTGATTTGGTTATTAATTTCATTGTTCTGTTTCTCGACAAAAAAACTAATACTTGCATATTATTAAAAAATCACAATGTTGGGATAAAGCAACATATTATGAAGACTGGTAGATTATCTTTCATACCTTTTCCAAAAGGGTAGTTAATTCTGTTGCAGCAAAACAAGAAAGAATCATGTGACAACTTTAACAGATATACTGCAACATAAGCTTTCATGGGCTACAGGTCATTTGCTCAAACACATGGAATATGACCTCGGGTTTAAGGTACGGACACGGTCTACACAGCTGGGAGTGGGATCTTGACAAAAAAGTCAAAGCAAATTTAGATGCAAAAAGTAAGATTATACTTTGTGCATCTAAGGGAAGAGTCTGTAATCCATAAAAGCTCAGCTAACAATCTGTTAGGCTTAAGGATGACATATGACTATTGTTTTCCCAGCTTTGACCACCTAATTTCCTTGTTCAGCCACAGGTGAGATGGAAGAAGGGAGGTGGAATTACAATGGTATATCCTCCTTTCTAGGTCCTGCAGCCAGCCATCTGTTGATTTCAAGTGTGTACATCTGGATGTGTGTCCTTGACACAGGACTCGGCTTCAGTAGTATACATATCCACCACGCTACTTAATAATTATCCTGCCTGAGCCTGACCAAGGTGGAGCCATGATGACTTCCATCCCCAAAGAGGTATTGTTGAATAGTTATGTCTTACATTTCAGCCAAGGGGCTATAACAACAAGACAGCATTATTCTGTCTTCCTGTACTGTGCCTTTGGCCAAACACAGGGTCAGTCATCCAGCAGCAGCTTTCATATTACTCCACATCTGAGGGTAGGGAAGAACATTATCTCAGTCTTATCACTTATATAGTTCATATGAATGTTAACTTCAATGCACTCAGGGAATACCTGGAGAAAGCAGGATATATTCCAGTGGCTAATCCTACTACCCTCTGTAAGTGTCTCCCCTTCAAAACAGCCTCTCTCACAATGCCCATCAGCCCCACTCAGCAGGGCCCACTGTAACCAAGCATCTGTAAAACCAAAGCTTCCCCAGTCCTCTTTTAAACTAGGTTTTACTGTTTCAGAAAACCTTCCTTTTTCGTAATGCTTTTATCCCAATGTAACCCATCTATGATAAACTAACGTAATAATTTACAGCACTACTGCAACATTAAGATGAAAGCATACATATATAGAGGCGAAAGATTTCTTTATAAAAGAGAGCACCCAAGTTATTAAGAAAAGTCCAGCTGGAATGTGAAAAGAAACTGATATTAATCTTTAAAGTATTAAAGTATTGTGTTCTCTTAGAGAACAGCATGAAGTAGTCATCTTG